TTATTATACATATGTGTCGTATATTATATAATGTATATTTTCTAAAATATAAGCTACTATAATAAATGTATTTCTATTTTTATTACTATCAAAGGCAAATAAAATACTGATCTTCTTTTTGAATATATTTATTGATGATATTAGAACATCTGTAAGTATAGATAACAAAAGAAAAATATATATAATACCAAGAAAAATAAAATTTTTTAGAGGAAAGTTATATTTCATATAACATAATTAAAGTACTTCTTCAGTTAAAAAGCTATTTAAACAAAGTGAAAAACATTGAAGACTAGCAATCTGTAATGAAAAATCAGAAATTATACCTTAATAAACATAAAACTTTGCTTAGAACTTTCTTATTTCTAATAACATATGATAAAGCAAACACATAAAATCGATATTAAACAAAATAAACTAAAATAAAACGACTTGGAAATACATACATAATACATGGAAATAAGAATATAAATATTTTATATTTAAATTTTAAACTAGTCTTACTCTTATGTTATTCAAAAGTCAGGTAAGCATATCACGTTTTGGTCACAGCCAAACTTTATATTATGAGCAATTTCCTTTCGATTAATTTAATCAGACAAAAAACAGTTCCAAGAACACAACTTATCTAAATTATTGTGTTCAAAGATTTTAATAATTGCACCCATCATTATTTTTTATAACAACACAAATCAAATATTTAGAGACAAACATATTTATAAAAAAAACTTTGCTTTTAGAACTTCAAGTCAGTTAATCAAAATTAGTGGAGAAAAATAGCTATAGATTATTTAAATATCTATATGAGAAATTGGACATCTTATTTCAGCAATATATTAAAATTATTCAAACAAAAAACAATATTTCTAATAAATGTTGAATAACAAATACTAATAAGTTCTCTTGAAAAACTTAGAATAGTTTATAATTTATCAATTAACTTTTCCATTACATCACGGAACGCTTTTGTTGCATTTTCAATAGCAACTATTCTTTCAGAATGGCGATGCTCACGTCGATCCTCTCGTTCTTTAGCATGTTGAATAAATTTCTCTGTCCACGTTGATAGTTGACGTTCGACCTTACTTTTCTTCCGACATTGTTCGTTGTCTGTTGAATGCTCTGAAGATATATTTTCGTCATCACTCTTTTCCATATTTGATGCAAGTGCAACAGGATTCACGCTTGGTTTGTTTCCATATAGTTCATTCATTTCATCATAGTACCGGTAAGATTTGCGTTCGACTCCTGTTTGTTTGTTATGATCCTTGACTCGCATATATTGTTTTCTCATGTTTGTCCATTTATCTTTAATTTGTGTCTTTGTAAAATTATATCCATCAGTTATCATTTGAGTTCTAATTTTATCCCACACTATATCATTTTTAACAGCAGTATTCTTGAAATCATCTTGATGATCTTTATACAAAGTAAACAAGAGTTTAATAGCTTTATCATTCCATGTAGCTGAGGAACAAAATAAACAGACATAAATAAATTGCCGACTGAAATTAATGGCCGTACAGAAATAAAAAATCTTAATAAGCAAACTTAATGAGGCTCAACGACCAATAACAGTAATATATATATATAAATATAAAATCATAAAAGTCTTAGTTACAATTAATTCACTTTATTAATTTCACAATAAGAACCATTCTATAATACGTCGCAAATGCCCAGTCGCCAATCGCGAAAGATAACAACTACCAATTGAAAAATGCTATTACAGCTTTCGCAATTGATGACGGGGCATTTACAATGTATTAGAGAATGGCCCTAAAACTTCAAACATTTAGACCGGAATTCATAGACCGATCTTATATTCAAGATCGTATTAAGTCTGGGGGTCTATTACGGTTCTCGGATTGGGTGAAAATGACGAAAGTGAGCGGCTCTATCTCTTACTAAAGGGACAGTTAGAAAGAGACAAAGCTACTCACCTTTGTCATTTTCATCCAATTCGAGAACCGTAATAGGTCCCCGGATCTTGAGACTTCATTCAGCCAATGGAAATGACTGTTTAACGTCTTCAGACTAGATTCAAGAGTCTCGAATATAAGATCAGTCTATGAATTCCACTTATGTTGAACATAGCTAAAGTTATTATATATTCTTACTTCGATATACCTGAATTAAGTTTTGATAACTTCGTACAGCGTCCTTCACTGGTCTCTGATTCCGAATCTAAAATTAAAATCATATTTTACTATTAAAATTCACATTAACATTTCATGTACAAAAATTAATGTTATAAAAAATTAATAATAAATTTAATATTACGTGAGTCATTTATCAGGAATTCTTTTTCCATGTTAGATCCCAGAATTTCATCTGTTAGGGAGATATTAAAAAACGATAAAACCTCTGACGATAACGGTAACTCAGAAAGTGATCCACCTTAAAAAAATATATATAATTAAAATTAAGTTTCAAATATAGAAATGACAAATGTTTTATTTATAACCCAACCTATATCATTGATAAATACTTACTTAAATTATCATAAATTAGAAGGCCACCATTTTCGCCTCTGCTCACTTTCTGATTTTCGTCGACAGTTAATGTATGCTGACCTGGGACAAGTACAAAAGTATCGGACATGATGCCTTATTCCTCGGACTAACTGAAACCCGCTTTTTTTCCCGCCTTTGCCTTGGTTACTATCCAACCTCTGAATTTTGAGAGGTCAGAAAGCTACCTCTGTGGTTAACCAATTATGCGTTTTGGAACGGTAACGTGAGGTTACTATAAACCAACCTCAAAGTCGTACCGAGGGTTTTGGAACGACCTATGGTAACCAAGGTAGGGATTTGGAACGCACCCCTGCAGGTACTCGGTCATGAAGGCCACGTATTGTTCTCGGAGTGTTGGATTGCGCATCAGGCGCCCCTCCAGACTGGTCACCAACATGAGCGCCTCTTGCCGATTGCAACCCAGGGGAATGCCGTCGTCCTCGCGCTTAGGCAGGCGCACTGTATACCGGTCGTGCGCGTCGCGGGAATGCGTAGCCGCAAACTGACTCTCGCATTGGAGGTCCTCCGGGGTAGCGGCAGAATCGACGGCAGCTCTTCAAGGTGCCAGAACCGCTGAAGAGCTTCATCCAACTGAGACCAGGAGCTGGATGCGTGAAGCGTTGTGACATGCCGGTTGAAGCCCGTCGTCTCAGTCGGGACGATAAGACGACGGGCTTCTTTTTCCTCCAGCTGTCGGCGTCGCAGATTATTCTGCCGGCCGCCTCCAGCGGTGTCAGGAGCTCGAACTCCTCGAGGGCCACCACCTCCGGCTTCTCCTCCTTTTCTGCACGTATTGGGGAGACAACCACCCTCTCAAAGGTGTCCACCCGACATCGTCTTCAGGGGGGATCGAACCGGCCGCCATCCTTCCATCCTTGGCCGGCCCTCCCCCCATCCAGGCAGCGGGCCTTACACTAGATAGGCCGGAGGCACGAGAGGGAGGCGGGGAACACGTCTTCGTTAACAAAGGGCAACAGTGCTCAGCGTGTAAAATCTCGTTTATTGTGTCACTCGCTAAAATAGTTTCACAGGTTCGCAGGCCATCGGCCTATCGCCTCTCTTTCGCGCGCAATACTGACGACTCACTCCTATCGACGCTAATCAAGACTTCTCGTGCTTATCGTCCGAATATCGCTGCCGCAACTGACTTCGAAAGTGCGGATTCCTTAGCGTTCGACTCCGCGTGCCCCCGTTCCCGTCGCCCCCGCTCCCAGGCTACTCGGTCCACCAGGCAGCGAGGGGAGATCGGGGAAATAACCGGGCACGCAGCAAAACAAATACGCTGTAATAAACAGATTCAGACAAGCAGGGCGCAAACTACCCGGGAAAAAATTTTCACATATGATCATATATGTATAATCATATATGCTCATATACGAAAAATGTCCATATATAAGATACCATATGTATCATATATGATGCACATGTTTGTCATATATACTGTCATATATGACAAACACATTATCATATACGATCATATATGATACATATGGTATCTTATATATGGACATTTTTCGTATATGAGCATTGCGACGAACTTTTCTCTCTTCTTTAAAGTTCTTCCGCCCTCCCGTTATACGCGGACGGACGGGTGTTGCCGTCCCGCTCTCGCTGTCGCGCGCGGATCTTAGGCGAAGGCGCGCCGACGACGGGGAGTGCGGTCGCCGGGCGCGAGAAGCGCGGGATACGGACGGATCGGGTCGTCGGCAAAAACCGAGGGGAAGGGAATAGTAACGCGCCGGAAAGGAGCAGGATCTCGGGCGCTCCGCGCGTACCGTGCCGCGGACCGAAAGCTCCACGCGAAAACGAAGGTTGGGCGCCAGACGCGGTCTTTCACGCGTCACGTCGCGAAACTCGCGAAATCGCACGAACGCGATGGAGCGGCTCTCGTCACGGGCAGGCTAGCTCGCCTAACGGTAGAGGGGCGGGGCGGTGGTTGCCACTAAAGATTCCAGAGGCTACGGGACTTAAGGGACTCACACGACGGACGAGACACCCGAGGGGAGACGCACACGAAAAGAAACTCAGAAAGATAATATAAATAAAATAGGGTTTAATGAAAGGCGGCGTTAACACGCCGATTGAGTGGCCGCTATAACGGGCGGCGTCGCTGGCGACAATAATTCAAGCCCCGAGATCGGGGGAAACAACACGCCGCGATACTCTCGGCGACGCGGAGCAATCCGGCGCGAACTCAACGGCAGAAATTACCTTCGCGATGAACCCTACGCGGACGACACGGACGCACTTGACAGGAATTTCTCTCGCGAACGGTAAGAGTACCGTCGCACACGCAAATCTTCACGAAGTACTATTACAT